TTCGGGAAAGAAGAGTCTCTCAACTTCAGCAAAGGAAGATAAAAGATCTTCCTGCCCCAGAGCTGCAGGAAAGAAGGGGAGGGGGTAGGATGGAATGATGGAATGTAGAATGTTGGAATGGTGGTAGGAGCAGCCTGGGGAGAGGTCGCCTGGAATTAATTTCTCTGGTTTTTATTATTTATTTTTATTTTATTTTATTTTTTATGTGTTTAGTACAGGGTCTACAGTCTCACGACACAGATCGGACTTATAGTGTTCCTCCTATTTTCAGCCTCCAAAGCACTGGGCTGACAGGCAGGGCTGGCACAGCACACCAGGGATGGAACTCCGGTCCCTGCATCTAATTTACTTTTTTATTTTTATTTTTTCATTTTTTTGGTGGCGGGCTCAGCCCACCCTGGGGGCAGGGCTGGCGTGGCATGCAGTGCCAGGGATCAAACACAGTCTCTGTGTTCGTCTAAGCTTGCCAAAGCAGGCACATTAGACCGCTGAGCTATCTCACCAACCCTGGGAATCAATTTCTCTGAGACAAGTTAGAGTGAGAAGTGTTGGTGTTCATTGAAGAAGAAATGGTATTCTGTGCCCTAAGAACCCTGGATACAACCTCTAGGGAGTGATACTAGGTCAGTATCTTAAAATTCTCGACTTGACCTACATTTAGTGAGCTGAAGCCAACTTGGTGTGTTGAGATATTTTTAAAAAATCATAATCGGCGGGGTGGCAGCGGGCGGTGAAGCGGCCGAGCAGAGGCAGAGTCGGCCGAGACTATGGCTGGAGGCAAAGCTGGGAAGGACAGTGGCAAGGCCAAGGCCAAGGCCGTGTCGCGCTCACAGAGAGCTGGGCTGCAGTTTCCTGTGGGCCGCATCCACAGACATCTGAAGACGCGCACTACCAGCCACGGACGAGTGGGTGCCACTGCCGCCGTCTCCAGTGCTGCAATCCTGGAGTACCTCACTGCCGAGGTGCTGGAGCTGGCGGGGAACGCATCGAAGGGTCTCAGAGTCAAGCGTATCACTCCACGTCACTTGCAGCTCGCCATCCGCGGAGATGAAGAGTTGGATTCTCTCATCAAGGCGACTATAGCTGGCGGTGGTGTGATTCCTCACATCCACAAATCTCTGATTGGAAAGAAGGGACAGCAGAAAACCGCTTAGGGTTGTCACCCGCCCTCCACTGCCCTGTCCTTGTACTGTCACCTGGACGGAAGACATCAGTGGGGACACATGACATTTTTAAAAGCAGTTAAAG